TGGTTCTTTACTCTTCCCCTCCCATGTTATCACACTGATCACATTGCTTTGTAATTATTTCATTTATAGTTGGTAAACTCCATATTTAAAAAATTTCCCTGTATACATAGTGCATGGTAGACCCTTAGTAATGTTTTTGAATTAATGAGGCATGATTCTAAATGCCAAATTGCACAAAAAGGTTTTTGCTATTGGATTCTAAACTGCCATGCCCTCTATACCAGTGACTGACAAGGCGTATAGGTATATATATATATTGTCTTGAGAGGAGTATTCAGATTCTGAACCTGAGAAAAGAGAACTTTCTCTTGTGATGTTGGAAACTTCCATTTTGCCTTTATAATCCTTATAGACCACTTGGTCTCACTCGTTGGTACAATTATGAGGGTAATACCAGGTGCTCTTTGTACAACTTTCCATCCCCACACAGTTGGAGAATAATTTGTAGGCTAGAGCAGTTAAAATGCTTTTAACTCTGGTGTATTGTAAAATAATGAACACATTCTTGTATATGTTAAAGCCTGCTAAATAATTCAGTTAGAATGAAGTAACCTCAAGGTACCAAATACCCCACATAAGGAAAGTACTACATTAATTCACTCAACAACTGTTGTATGCCTACCATGTGCCAGATTTTATCCTAGACACTGAGGATATAGCTTTGTAACCACCCCCTCCTGTTTCAGAGCTTGTATTCTAGTGGAGGAAGTTAGACAAAGCATTTTAAATAATAAATGTATTATAGAGAGTGTCAAGTGATGAGTACTATGAAGAAGAATGAATTAGGGTAAGGGGTTAGTGTGGTGGGAGAGGGGTGGGATGCCATCATATTTATGGGTGTTTGGGAACTGTCTACTGCTTTAGCATTTGTGTCTTCAAATTTCCCTCATTTGGTTATATACCTTGCATATTCAGTACATTCATAAAGTTTCTTTCTTATACAAGTTCTGATACTGAATTAAGGAATGGGTAACTACTTAAGACCTTATCATTTCAGCTACACATAAAGGGTTTCTCTCCAGTATGGATTTTGCTAATGGTTAAGTGATACTGAAAGGCCTTGTTGAATTTTTTACACTTGGGGTTTCTCTTTGGTTTGAATTCTCTTGTGATTACCAAAACTTTGTTAAAGAACTCTTCGCAGTCCTTAAATTTGTATGGTTCTTTCCCAGTATGAATTTTTCGATGTTAACTAGGCTTCTAGGCTTAATTAAAGATGTGTCTGCTGTGCTGCATTTATAGGGTTTTAGGCTACTGAAAATATTGATGCTGATTAAGGTGCAAATCATGACTAAAGACTTTTTTCTTTTGCATATAGTAGAGTGAGGTGAGGGTCATGGCTAAAACCCCACAATAACATTACATTCCTAACTTTACCATCTTGCTGTGAATTCTGATGTTCATTAAAGTGTGAGCTGTGTCAAAAGGCATTCTTAGATTCATTTTAATGGCGTTTTAATAAACTCACAGTTGGTTAACATGCTGGTTTTAGATTGCTTGTCTTGTTTCTCTTTCTACTTTCTAGGGCTCCTTTTCTAGCTTAAATAAGGGTACCCCATCTGCCACAGAATTCAGGATTCTATAGTTCTTTAGTTTCACTTCTCTATATTCTTTTTTTTTTTTTTTTAACAATGAGATATGTTACAGCAGTATTGCATTAACATGCATTTAATATATCCACAATTAAAGTATGCATTATGTATTTATGCTGGTGTTCTTTCATATTTTTTATTTCTTCTAGTGAAAATTTCCAAGTAAACTGTTTTTGAGCATATACATTTTTAAAAAAAATAAAACCATACACCCCTACTTGTTGCCTGTTTTCTTTTATATTCGACTGTTGCATCAGAATTAAAACTTTTATCATCTCAGTTTATTATTTTAACTTCTGAATGTTATTTCTTCTGGTCCTAATAACTTTTGAAGATGGGGTAATATAGTGGTTAGGATTCTGAGCTTTGAAGCCAGAAGGCCTGAGTTTAATCACAGACCTGCCATTTATAATACTAACTGTGTGACTCTCTATAAGTTCTTTAATCTTCCTGTTCCTTATTATCTTATTTTTTTTAACACAGTATAGTACCTACCTCAAGGATATTTAAGATTAAATAAGTTAATGTTCAGAGTGCTTTAGTTCAGTGCCTAGCACATGATAAGAACACAAGAGAATTAGCTATTACTAGACTGTTTCCCTTAATGTCTAGTTCTGTATATAGGCATACCTCATTTGGCATGCTGACTCATTAGCCAGACAATTGAATGACAAACTTGTTGGCCAGTAAAGCACTGCCTTTCCTTAGTTCAAGTTATTCTGGTCTTTCAGGGGGGAAGCAGATTTCAGAGAAGAAATCAGGACTTGGATAGGCATCTCAAATGTTTTATGTGGATATGACTGGAAGAAAACCTCAAATTTTCAAAAAATCTTCAGGTCCCCCCCAGATATATATAATATCCACTGTATTGAGATGTACTAGTCATCTAAATATGTTATACATACCCTATTTAAAATCGAATTTTTCAATCAGCCTAATTGCCTTGGCTTCTGATACCTTTTGGTCTCATTCTTAACTCACAAATCAGAGGCATTTAATGAAATGCTGGTTATTTAAATATAAATACCACACTTAAAAACAGATTATTCTAAATCCTGTTTTCTACGCGATTAATATGTAGCTGTAAAATCCCATGAGGTATATTTCTGTATAATGCTACAGAGTGGTCTCATTAAGTAAAAAAATGGAGAAGGTATATATATTTATATATACACACACACAATATTTAAAAAGGATGGAAAAGTGTGTGTGTGTGTGTGTGTGTGTGTGTGTGTGTAAACAATGGAAGGATAATGAAAGCCTTACAAAATGGTTACTTATGGTGGAGGCAGAAGGCGAAGAACCAGATGGAAAAAGACCAGGACGGAAGCTAGATTTCTCTGAATATGCCTTGAGTTTTGAACATCTGACTTTGACCATGTACATATGTTATTCTAAAACAAGATTTAATCAAAGTTAAAAAAAAAGCCCTACAAGTTCAAAGCAAAATGAAACAAGTGACCTGCATTCTATATCAAGTTGATGGTTTAAATACACAAGTATGTTTCAATTATCTTTAAAACATAGTAATTTGTGTGTTCATTCCTAATAGGGTATATCCAAGGGCAAAAAGAATGTGAAGAATTCTTAAACTCCTCAGTACTGTAATTAAATTGTTAGTTATGTTAATATAATTAGAAATGAAGGTTTTTAGTGTAAGAAAAAAGAGACATATCAAATCAAAGAGTAAAAAGTCTGTAATGTTTGGAAAATAACAATGTGAAGTTATGTTTTCTATGTATAAAAGACACTAGAAAGGACTAGAAACATTCCTATCAAAATGAGCCAGGGTTTTCTGGAAATACAGCGAACTCTGGCCTGAGCAGGACAATCAAATGACTGACAAGAAAATTTTTAATTCAGCTAATGAAAGGAATTATAGAACTAGAATATTAATATTTTATAACTTGTAAGAAAATAATATTCATTGATAAATGCTGTATCTTTGAGGTGAAAAACTTACAGGAAATTTGAATGGATCAGCACAGTGCAATCATTGATCACTCTGAACATTAGAAAATGAAACTGACTTGTGGCTTTCAATCTCAGTACATAATACCTTTTACAAATGTGTTAAAGGCACTATTGAGATGCCATCAAGAGTATCCAGGCCAGCACAGTGGGTCACACCTGCACTTTGGAAGGCCACATCAGGGGAGGATCACTTGAGCCTAGGACGTCAAGACCAGCCTGGAAAACATGGTGAAACTTTGTCTCTACCAAGAAAAGAATAAAAAGAAGAATATAGGAAAAAAAAAAATAAGTCCAGAGTGCTCCAGAAAGACCAACCTGGTTTTTTTTGTGTGTTTGTTTTTGTTTTTTTCTGTAAACAAATGGAAAATAAAGGAGGGGGAGCTATATAATGAAACTTAAGTTGTAAGAGTATGTGTATTTGATGATTTTAATGAATTAAAATTGCTTGGGTACAGTGTTCTGTTTCCTAAAATGTATTTTTTAGGGATAGATACTGAGATATTTACAGATATAGGTCTGGGATTTGTTTCAAAGCAATCCAGAATTGGGGGTGTAGTATTAGGTGAATACAGCAACAGAGCAAGATTAACCAGGTGTTGGTAATTGAATCTTGGCTATTGGGCACACAAGAGCATATTATTCACTCCTTTTATATATGTTCAAAATTTTTCATAATAAAGTTTTCCTCTTTTATTTAACATATATTTTTAATACTTTATACTTGAACTGATTTTTTTTTTTTTTCTGGCTCTAGTTCTACTTTTTTGCCATCACAGTAAATCACGTCTTAGAAGGTGATGAGAAATGCCATATGGTTAATTTGTGGTTCTTGTCCAGATTGCCTCTCAGAACTGAGGCTGTAATTTTATTGGTTATTGGCACCTACCAACGGCATGCCAAAAAAATAATAATAATAATGAAGCAAACTTGTATGTTACAGAGCCTTAGTTATCAGGCTTTGTTGGATTCTGTTGACATTTAGATATTCAGAGATTTACTTTTTGAATGTATGCATACCCAGTTATACAACAGATAACTTGTAATATGTTCTCTGGTATACTTTCTTACAGCCCTTTTAAAGTAAGCTCAAAGTAAGTAGAATGGACATCTGTATTGAGAATCAAAAAATTCACTAGTGGGATTTCAACACCACCACATTTAGGTTCTCCTAGCGATTTTTTTGCTGCCCTTTTATGAGATACATAGAATAAGCAAATTTTAAATATGCTTATATTTTCGCATAGTGGGTCCAGACTTCTCATTTTGGCATAAGGTTCTTTATAATTGGCCTCCTGACTGCCTCTCTAGTCTGTTTTTGCTGATAAGGCGGGAAAATAAATGGTGAATTGGTGATTGAGGAAGCAACACACACAAAACCCCACACGTAGTATGTAGTGCTGAACAGGAAACAGGTGGTTATTAAGCCCAAGATAGTGGCAGAGAGCTGTCGAACCAGCGGAGTGGCCTAAGACCTGGCATAGTGGAAATGATCCCAGAGAGAATATCGAATGAAGTCAGGAAGTCAGCTGGCCGTAGGTTGTAGAGGGGCTCTGTGGTTAGCTGGCTGAGGTTGAGGTCACAGGTTACTAAGGAAGTAATTGTTGACAGGAGCTTCGTACTCGGCTCAGAACCACACACAGCTGGCTCCCCTGGTCCGGGGCCTAACCCTGCCCTGGAGGCGGACTCGCGGGGGAGGCGAGAGGCGGAACGCCCGATGGCTACGGCGGCGGGCGGCGGACCCGCGCAGGAGGCGGACGCACTTGGTGTGGCTCTGCGACGCGTCACCCGTGCTGTGGGCAAGCCATGGCAGGAAGCGAGCCGCGCAGCGGAACTAGCTCCCCGCCGCCGCCCTTCAGCGACTGGGGCCGCCTGGAGGCGGCCATCCTCAGCGGCTGGAGGACCTTCTGGCAGTCAGTGAGCAAGGAGAGGGTGGCAAGGACAGCCTCGCGGGAGGAGGTGGATGAGGCGGCCAGCACCCTGACGCGGCTGCCGGTGAGCGTCGGCCGCAGGCCGCGGAGGACCGTGGGGCCGGCCGGGGCCGGCCCGGGCCGGAGGAACCGCCGTGGGATCTCCCCGGGGTCTAGGGAACTCCTGCGCCCCGGCCTGGGTCTGGCCCGGTCCGTGCAGCCCATTCTTGGCACTGTAGTCACTGAGACGCTACAGTTGACCAGAAGCGTCTTGGCGTTGACCCTGGTGCTCCACAAGCGGCCCAAACATCTCAGGGAAGCACCTAAACCGGGCCCCTGGAGTGACTAGCCCAACTGCCTTCAGGAGTTCCACCCCCAAAACAGGCACATGTGACCAGGACACCCTGAATATCCGTTTACGGAAATGAGACCGTTCCCAGCTTGCTGGTTAACTTGGGAAAGCATTCCAGAGTCCATGTTCCCAGAATCTTTGATTCCGAATCATTGTATCAAATCACCTGAAGGGCCAAGGTTTTTACCCTCTCCGAGGACATTCTGCCTGTGGCTGTTATCGTATATTTCAAGAGACAAAACTGCCCCTCAGTTGAAAATAAATGACTAAGTTGCAAGTGCCTCAAGTTACCTCAAGGCCACGAGAATGATATACATAATTTATTGTTAAACTTTGGGGTAGATAGGTAAATGAAGAGAACAGAAGTTATTGACAATTATTACAATTCTTTGTCTCATTTGGACTATTGACACCTCCCTCCTACATGTATACCAACATGAAGACCGCAGTTTTAGAATGCTTCCAACTTTCTACTCCTTGCAAAAGTTTTTTGTAGCATTTTAGTATTCTATAGAAGAATTAAGACTAAGATGACAAATTTACACACTTTGATTTAGTCTGATGATAAAATCAGAAAATTGTCCACTTGATAGAAGTTTTACTTTGAAGAAGAAATTATTTCCTTAACTAATTTATGTAACAAATTGGTATATCCAAATATCACTGAGGAAAAATTGAAGGAGCTGGTTGTTTTGCTGGAAAAATAACAAGACAGTGGTTGCTTTTTCAGGAATGTTTCAGTGTTTCAGAAATTAAATCTTTAACGAAACTACCAAAAAAAAATTCAGTTATGATCCTTTGCTGATGGCAGGAAAATAATAGATTTAATTATTAATGGTAGATTTAATTATTAAAAATACTAACTAGTCAGTTGACCTTTTGTTATTTATTTGTTGATTGTGTGATTTATTACCCCAAAAACTATTTTCTTCATTTCTTTTTTTTACCTACTGCTTTCTTCTGTTTCAGATTGATGTACAGCTATATATTTTGTCCTTTCTTTCACCTCATGATCTGTGTCAGCTGGGAAGTACAAATCATTACTGGAACGAAACTGTAAGAGATCCAATTCTGTGGAGATATTTTCTGTTGAGGGATCTTCCTTCTTGGTCTTCTGTTGACTGGAAGTCTCTTCCAGATCTAGAGATCTTAAAAAAACCTATATCTGAGGTCACTGATGGTGCATTTTTTGACTACATGGCAGTGTAAGTATCTAGTTTTATGAATTAAAAGATATTAAATTTTACTGTATTACTAGTCAGTATCCAAGTTAGTCCTGACCCTGCTACTGATTTGTTGCATAGATTTGGGGTCTAAGTGTTCTCTTGCCAAAACTGGGAGTTGAGTTAAATTACTTCCTTCATAGGACCCTTTCAGCTTTAATATTTTATTTTTTCCCTGTGGTGCCTAACCAATATTTCAATAATTATACGTAGTATAGATAGCAAGAAGTAAAAGACTTCTTAAAATGCTCACGATCTTTAGAACAATTGTCATTTTGTTAAATAAGTAAATACTTTTCCATATCCAGAAAAAGAATGATCAGAGATCCCTGTTCTTTGGCAGGGAAGAAAACCATTCTAAAGGCTCTGAGAAATAAGATTATATTAGCACCAAAAAACACTGACATTTTTTAATATCATGTAGGTGAGATAATTAATGTTACTGAGCAACTGCAGTGTATTGGATTCTACAAGGGATGCTTTCTATGTTTTACTCATTTAATCCTCATACAAGAAGAAGTTATTATCTTGGTATCATGGATATGGAATTAAGGTTCATGGAGGTTATGTGATTTGCCTAAAGTCATGTAGCTTGTAAGGGACTATTCAGATTGGAACCCTATTATGCTACCTCAAAGGTATATAATGTCGTTGGATCTGGATATAGCCTTTTTTACTGAGAAATTCAAATTTAAGGCATTATTTTAAACGTTTTAAAATATTTATTCTTTGAAGATTGTTTTGTTGTGCTAGACTCAGTAGCAACATACAGAATTTTTTTTTTCAAATTTTGAGTTATTCAGAGCCTTCCCTTCTTCTGATACAGTTGTCATTATGTCAAGTGTTGTGAGACTATTTGATCCAAAGGTATGTCATCTGTTATATATAATCTCAACAAGTGCTGCTGTATCTCACTTGCTAGGCAATACTTGTACATTGCCCCATAGCTAACCATTGCAGTGTCAGATTTTGCCCAGGGAATAGTAGTGATAGTAACTACCATTTATGGTCATATAATTACTTCTAATTTTTACAACCCTGAGTTATTGCTGTTNGTGTGTGTGTGTGTGTGTGTGTGTGTGTGTGTAAACAATGGAAGGATAATGAAAGCCTTACAAAATGGTTACTTATGGTGGAGGCAGAAGGCGAAGAACCAGATGGAAAAAGACCAGGACGGAAGCTAGATTTCTCTGAATATGCCTTGAGTTTTGAACATCTGACTTTGACCATGTACATATGTTATTCTAAAACAAGATTTAATCAAAGTTAAAAAAAAAGCCCTACAAGTTCAAAGCAAAATGAAACAAGTGACCTGCATTCTATATCAAGTTGATGGTTTAAATACACAAGTATGTTTCAATTATCTTTAAAACATAGTAATTTGTGTGTTCATTCCTAATAGGGTATATCCAAGGGCAAAAAGAATGTGAAGAATTCTTAAACTCCTCAGTACTGTAATTAAATTGTTAGTTATGTTAATATAATTAGAAATGAAGGTTTTTAGTGTAAGAAAAAAGAGACATATCAAATCAAAGAGTAAAAAGTCTGTAATGTTTGGAAAATAACAATGTGAAGTTATGTTTTCTATGTATAAAAGACACTAGAAAGGACTAGAAACATTCCTATCAAAATGAGCCAGGGTTTTCTGGAAATACAGCGAACTCTGGCCTGAGCAGGACAATCAAATGACTGACAAGAAAATTTTTAATTCAGCTAATGAAAGGAATTATAGAACTAGAATATTAATATTTTATAACTTGTAAGAAAATAATATTCATTGATAAATGCTGTATCTTTGAGGTGAAAAACTTACAGGAAATTTGAATGGATCAGCACAGTGCAATCATTGATCACTCTGAACATTAGAAAATGAAACTGACTTGTGGCTTTCAATCTCAGTACATAATACCTTTTACAAATGTGTTAAAGGCACTATTGAGATGCCATCAAGAGTATCCAGGCCAGCACAGTGGGTCACACCTGCACTTTGGAAGGCCACATCAGGGGAGGATCACTTGAGCCTAGGACGTCAAGACCAGCCTGGAAAACATGGTGAAACTTTGTCTCTACCAAGAAAAGAATAAAAAGAAGAATATAGGAAAAAAAAAAATAAGTCCAGAGTGCTCCAGAAAGACCAACCTGGTTTTTTTTGTGTGTTTGTTTTTGTTTTTTTCTGTAAACAAATGGAAAATAAAGGAGGGGGAGCTATATAATGAAACTTAAGTTGTAAGAGTATGTGTATTTGATGATTTTAATGAATTAAAATTGCTTGGGTACAGTGTTCTGTTTCCTAAAATGTATTTTTTAGGGATAGATACTGAGATATTTACAGATATAGGTCTGGGATTTGTTTCAAAGCAATCCAGAATTGGGGGTGTAGTATTAGGTGAATACAGCAACAGAGCAAGATTAACCAGGTGTTGGTAATTGAATCTTGGCTATTGGGCACACAAGAGCATATTATTCACTCCTTTTATATATGTTCAAAATTTTTCATAATAAAGTTTTCCTCTTTTATTTAACATATATTTTTAATACTTTATACTTGAACTGATTTTTTTTTTTTTTCTGGCTCTAGTTCTACTTTTTTGCCATCACAGTAAATCACGTCTTAGAAGGTGATGAGAAATGCCATATGGTTAATTTGTGGTTCTTGTCCAGATTGCCTCTCAGAACTGAGGCTGTAATTTTATTGGTTATTGGCACCTACCAACGGCATGCCAAAAAAATAATAATAATAATGAAGCAAACTTGTATGTTACAGAGCCTTAGTTATCAGGCTTTGTTGGATTCTGTTGACATTTAGATATTCAGAGATTTACTTTTTGAATGTATGCATACCCAGTTATACAACAGATAACTTGTAATATGTTCTCTGGTATACTTTCTTACAGCCCTTTTAAAGTAAGCTCAAAGTAAGTAGAATGGACATCTGTATTGAGAATCAAAAAATTCACTAGTGGGATTTCAACACCACCACATTTAGGTTCTCCTAGCGATTTTTTTGCTGCCCTTTTATGAGATACATAGAATAAGCAAATTTTAAATATGCTTATATTTTCGCATAGTGGGTCCAGACTTCTCATTTTGGCATAAGGTTCTTTATAATTGGCCTCCTGACTGCCTCTCTAGTCTGTTTTTGCTGATAAGGCGGGAAAATAAATGGTGAATTGGTGATTGAGGAAGCAACACACACAAAACCCCACACGTAGTATGTAGTGCTGAACAGGAAACAGGTGGTTATTAAGCCCAAGATAGTGGCAGAGAGCTGTCGAACCAGCGGAGTGGCCTAAGACCTGGCATAGTGGAAATGATCCCAGAGAGAATATCGAATGAAGTCAGGAAGTCAGCTGGCCGTAGGTTGTAGAGGGGCTCTGTGGTTAGCTGGCTGAGGTTGAGGTCACAGGTTACTAAGGAAGTAATTGTTGACAGGAGCTTCGTACTCGGCTCAGAACCACACACAGCTGGCTCCCCTGGTCCGGGGCCTAACCCTGCCCTGGAGGCGGACTCGCGGGGGAGGCGAGAGGCGGAACGCCCGATGGCTACGGCGGCGGGCGGCGGACCCGCGCAGGAGGCGGACGCACTTGGTGTGGCTCTGCGACGCGTCACCCGTGCTGTGGGCAAGCCATGGCAGGAAGCGAGCCGCGCAGCGGAACTAGCTCCCCGCCGCCGCCCTTCAGCGACTGGGGCCGCCTGGAGGCGGCCATCCTCAGCGGCTGGAGGACCTTCTGGCAGTCAGTGAGCAAGGAGAGGGTGGCAAGGACAGCCTCGCGGGAGGAGGTGGATGAGGCGGCCAGCACCCTGACGCGGCTGCCGGTGAGCGTCGGCCGCAGGCCGCGGAGGACCGTGGGGCCGGCCGGGGCCGGCCCGGGCCGGAGGAACCGCCGTGGGATCTCCCCGGGGTCTAGGGAACTCCTGCGCCCCGGCCTGGGTCTGGCCCGGTCCGTGCAGCCCATTCTTGGCACTGTAGTCACTGAGACGCTACAGTTGACCAGAAGCGTCTTGGCGTTGACCCTGGTGCTCCACAAGCGGCCCAAACATCTCAGGGAAGCACCTAAACCGGGCCCCTGGAGTGACTAGCCCAACTGCCTTCAGGAGTTCCACCCCCAAAACAGGCACATGTGACCAGGACACCCTGAATATCCGTTTACGGAAATGAGACCGTTCCCAGCTTGCTGGTTAACTTGGGAAAGCATTCCAGAGTCCATGTTCCCAGAATCTTTGATTCCGAATCATTGTATCAAATCACCTGAAGGGCCAAGGTTTTTACCCTCTCCGAGGACATTCTGCCTGTGGCTGTTATCGTATATTTCAAGAGACAAAACTGCCCCTCAGTTGAAAATAAATGACTAAGTTGCAAGTGCCTCAAGTTACCTCAAGGCCACGAGAATGATATACATAATTTATTGTTAAACTTTGGGGTAGATAGGTAAATGAAGAGAACAGAAGTTATTGACAATTATTACAATTCTTTGTCTCATTTGGACTATTGACACCTCCCTCCTACATGTATACCAACATGAAGACCGCAGTTTTAGAATGCTTCCAACTTTCTACTCCTTGCAAAAGTTTTTTGTAGCATTTTAGTATTCTATAGAAGAATTAAGACTAAGATGACAAATTTACACACTTTGATTTAGTCTGATGATAAAATCAGAAAATTGTCCACTTGATAGAAGTTTTACTTTGAAGAAGAAATTATTTCCTTAACTAATTTATGTAACAAATTGGTATATCCAAATATCACTGAGGAAAAATTGAAGGAGCTGGTTGTTTTGCTGGAAAAATAACAAGACAGTGGTTGCTTTTTCAGGAATGTTTCAGTGTTTCAGAAATTAAATCTTTAACGAAACTACCAAAAAAAAATTCAGTTATGATCCTTTGCTGATGGCAGGAAAATAATAGATTTAATTATTAATGGTAGATTTAATTATTAAAAATACTAACTAGTCAGTTGACCTTTTGTTATTTATTTGTTGATTGTGTGATTTATTACCCCAAAAACTATTTTCTTCATTTCTTTTTTTTACCTACTGCTTTCTTCTGTTTCAGATTGATGTACAGCTATATATTTTGTCCTTTCTTTCACCTCATGATCTGTGTCAGCTGGGAAGTACAAATCATTACTGGAACGAAACTGTAAGAGATCCAATTCTGTGGAGATATTTTCTGTTGAGGGATCTTCCTTCTTGGTCTTCTGTTGACTGGAAGTCTCTTCCAGATCTAGAGATCTTAAAAAAACCTATATCTGAGGTCACTGATGGTGCATTTTTTGACTACATGGCAGTGTAAGTATCTAGTTTTATGAATTAAAAGATATTAAATTTTACTGTATTACTAGTCAGTATCCAAGTTAGTCCTGACCCTGCTACTGATTTGTTGCATAGATTTGGGGTCTAAGTGTTCTCTTGCCAAAACTGGGAGTTGAGTTAAATTACTTCCTTCATAGGACCCTTTCAGCTTTAATATTTTATTTTTTCCCTGTGGTGCCTAACCAATATTTCAATAATTATACGTAGTATAGATAGCAAGAAGTAAAAGACTTCTTAAAATGCTCACGATCTTTAGAACAATTGTCATTTTGTTAAATAAGTAAATACTTTTCCATATCCAGAAAAAGAATGATCAGAGATCCCTGTTCTTTGGCAGGGAAGAAAACCATTCTAAAGGCTCTGAGAAATAAGATTATATTAGCACCAAAAAACACTGACATTTTTTAATATCATGTAGGTGAGATAATTAATGTTACTGAGCAACTGCAGTGTATTGGATTCTACAAGGGATGCTTTCTATGTTTTACTCATTTAATCCTCATACAAGAAGAAGTTATTATCTTGGTATCATGGATATGGAATTAAGGTTCATGGAGGTTATGTGATTTGCCTAAAGTCATGTAGCTTGTAAGGGACTATTCAGATTGGAACCCTATTATGCTACCTCAAAGGTATATAATGTCGTTGGATCTGGATATAGCCTTTTTTACTGAGAAATTCAAATTTAAGGCATTATTTTAAACGTTTTAAAATATTTATTCTTTGAAGATTGTTTTGTTGTGCTAGACTCAGTAGCAACATACAGAATTTTTTTTTTCAAATTTTGAGTTATTCAGAGCCTTCCCTTCTTCTGATACAGTTGTCATTATGTCAAGTGTTGTGAGACTATTTGATCCAAAGGTATGTCATCTGTTATATATAATCTCAACAAGTGCTGCTGTATCTCACTTGCTAGGCAATACTTGTACATTGCCCCATAGCTAACCATTGCATGAAGTGTATATGAGGCTGCGGTGTCAGATTTTGCCCAGGGAATAGTAGTGATAGTAACTACCATTTATGGTCATATAATTACTTCTAATTTTTACAACCCTGAGTTATTGCTGTTGCTCAAATAATACACACGAAGAAACTGAAATTCAGGCTCTAAGTGGTTCTTATAACTAAAAGTGGTGAGGCTTGGTCAAGTCTGTCTAGCTTTAAAGCTGTTTTTTGTTTGTTTTTTTCCCCTTCATGAGTTACAAGTTTTCTAATAAAAATATTTTGTTAGGTTAGTGATTTCGTTAACCAGCTTGATTTATTTGAAGAGCTTTAGTTTTTATTTTGATTGGAGTAACTTTTAATTTTTGATAAAATGCATAATTGGTACTTTAGAGATTTATAGCCACTTCAAGAAACTGAATTGTTTTACATGATTCTTAGTTTGCTAGGTTTGCTGCAAGGATCATTTGAGACTCCCTCATTTAACTCTTACTGAACTGTCATATTTGAGGCTGTTAGTAGGAGTACTCAAGAATTTTAAATTTGGTTATATTGGTAGTGTTAGCAATTTTTTGGTTTGTTTGTTTTACCTCTAGGGATATTGTACTAACTATCTGTGTGTAGCTTATTTCTAGCACTGAGTTTCTCAATCTTGGCATTATTGACATTTTGAGCCAAATAATTCTTTGTTCTGGGGCCTGCCCTATGCATTGTAGGATTAATGTTTAGCAGCATCCTTGGCCTCTACTTGCTCCTTCTCCCCTCCCCAGTTGTGGCAGTAAACATGTTGTTCAAACACTGCCAAATGTTCCAGGGGGCAGGGATAAACCTCCTCAAGTTGAGAACCTTTATGTAGTAAATTTTCACCATTCAATCTTTCCATGAGATAATCTAAATGAAAGATTAGAAAGTAAGTAACCACTTCTTGGGGAAGGTTTCCTTAGCTTCTGGGCCACTCCTACTCTCATGGCACCTGGTGCTTTTCCCTGTCAGAGCACTCCACATACATGTTATAAAGGTGTCTATTCTCCATTGTCCTCCTGGAGGATTGGGACTATGTAATCACTGTATCCCTTGTGTCTAGCAAGTACTCAATAAATTATATACTGTTGAATGAATAACTGGCTGTTTTCTGTGTTACTGTTCTAATTGTGACAATTTTTTACAGCTATAAAATGTGCTGTCCATATACAAGAAAAGCTTCAAAAACCAGCCGTCCTATGTATGGAGCTGTCACCTCATTTTTACACTCCCTGATCATTCAGAATGAACCACGATTTGCTATGTTTGGACCAGGTTTGGAAGAACTGAATACCTCTTTGGTGTTGAGCTTGATGTCTTCGGAGGAACTTTGCCCAACAGCTGGTTTGCCTCAGAGGCAAATTGATGGTAATTTTCATGTTAATCTACAGTTATTTCAAATACTTTAAGCTTGGCATTCTTGTTAAAAAGAAAGAAATTCATTTTTAATTATTTGCTATAATGAAATATAGTATTTTGGTTATTGGGACCCCCACCAGGTTCCACTGGACTGACAGAATTAATTTACCTGCTATAAGAAAGCTTCTTCTTAATTCCTCAAATTTGTACAGTCCAGACTTTAAAATTATGTGAAAGTAAATTATTTGTTGCCAGGATATTGTGTAGTGAGATACAATATTTATCATATTTGAAAAAAGCAGAAAAAACAATTCAGCATCTGTGTGCAAAGTGTTTTGATATATATTGGAATTCAAAAGAATTAAATCATCACCTTCCCCTCTTTCTATTAGAAAAAAACACCACAACACATAAGTATTTGGCAAGGCAAGATAAATAGTAAATATAAGTGATAATAAAATTTAGCCTTTGCTCTACTTATTTATTGAGAGCCAGCCCCTAATAGTGAGATAGATGATGGGGATGCAGAGATTTAGAACAATATATGTGTCTGCCTTCAAGATACTTGGTGTAGGTGAGGACATAGACAAGTATACAGATAATTAGACTATGATATAATTAGCTCCTGGGTAGAAAGGTAATGGTAAAAGAAGGCTCCATATTGAAGATGAAGTCTCATATGAGTCACTAGGGTGAATAGTTGCAGGCCATCACAAAAAGAGAGTAAAGGTGTTCCAGGCAGAGAGAACTACATTTCTAAAAGCACAAAGCTCTGGATGTGGAGGACACATTTGAATTATCACTGTGTATCTAGAAAGAGTAGAACTATGTGAAAAGACACATATGTACCATGCTTAAGCATTTGGGAGCTGTTGAAGGATTTTAAGTAGAGGATTGAAATGATCAAGATTGCATTTTAGAAAGGTTACTCAGGCTCCCAAGTGAAGAATTGATTAGAAGGGGCTAAAGATATGGAGACCCATTAAGAAGCCACTGCAGGCCAAGCATGGTGGCTCACACCTGTAATCCCAGCACTTTGGGAGGCCAAGGGGGGCGGATCATGAGGTCAAGAGATCGAGACCATCCTGGCCAACAGGGTGAAACCCCATCTCTACTAAAAAGACAAAAATTAGCTGGGCATGGTGGTGTGCGCCTGTAGTCCTAGCTACTCGGGAGGCTGAGGCAGGAGAATTGCTTGAACCTGGGAGGTGGAGGTTACAGTGAGCTGAAATTGTGCCACGGCACTCCAGCCTGGCACCTGGCAATGGAGCAAGACTCTGTCTCAAAAAAAAAAAAAGAAAAAAAAAAAAGAAGCCACTGTAATATTGTGATTAAAATATGAAGAGGATCTGAACTCTAAGTCACTGTTAGTGAAGATGAGAGAAGAGAATGAATAGTAAGGATATAAAATTGACAGAATGACTGTATTAGCAGTAATAAGGATGGCTCCAGGTTTCTGACTTGAGTTTTGTGTTGGATGATACAGGATTCACTAGGGTAAGGGAGAAGTAAGAGAAACTTGGAAGGGGACAGTTAATGGTAAGATCTGTAGAGAGAGAATGGCAGCTATTATTTGGAATGTGTGTTGATTTTTGATAACTCTATGAAAGATCCAAGTAGAGATACCTACTATAATCAAATCCACTAGAACAGAAGCTCCATGAAGGTAAGAATTTTGTCCACTTTATTTTTAGCTATATCTGTGGTGCCAGGCACAGAGCAGGCATTCTCTGTGTATTTGGTGAATGGGTGAATGACTTTATGGATTACTATATGCATGTATCTCACAAGGGCAAAGATCTGGGATAGAAACTGAGATTTGGGAGTCATATGGAGTCCACATGGACTGGACGTTTTTGAGGATGAGAGGAAGATTGGAGATGGGTGCTGAAATCTTCAGTTTATGCTTGGGGGAAGTGATTATTAAATAGAGATTCATAAATAATAACGACAAGGAAGGAAAGAGTGCTATAGCTGAATGATGTGTTTCTCAAGCAGAAGGAGTTTTTTAGAAGGTTGATGAATAATGGTTGAGACATGGCATTGGGAGTTGAGAACTTCAATCCCACCTCTTTACCCCAAGTTTTGAGAAAATAAGTGTCTTTCTACTTGAGAGTTCACTTCAGGAGAAGCCTGACCTGGAAGCAGGCCAGTTTCAAGTAGGGGCATTAGGTCAAAGGAACACTTCAAGAAGATGTTGAGGAAATGGGGAAGTTTGATTATTATAAAATGGCAATCCATTTTCCAGAAAGCAGCTGACATGATTGTTTTAAAATGTCAATTTGTGCCTCACACTCAGCAAGGTGAGAGAATATGGGGTTACATCATTGGCAAAGAAGGGCAGAACAGTATGGGGACTATATTGGACTGAAGTTAGATGTGTTGCGAGGATAATCTCTGGGAGTACAGCTGACGAAAACAAAGATCAGAAACATGGTAAATTTAGATTCTGTGGTCTCTGTGAAACATGTACCTGACCTGGTGGCTGGAGGACTAGGATCACATGGCCTGGGATGGTTGCAGTCCTAGCACTTAAGAGCCCTAAACATGTATTGCCTAGAATGGTGACATGAGATGGTATGGCATAGCTTATTTAAACAAATAAATTGGTTATAATGCAGGAATTCAGACTATGAAAGGCTGGAGTAGTCTCTAATGATGCTAGTAAGGGCCAGATATTAAGGTTTTGTTTCTTCCTCTGAAGAGCAATAGCTTGGTAGAGAAGACACTTAATTAGATACCATTATTAGAAAATTCTTCCAGCTGCTGTCAGAAGAAACGATAATAGGAGACTGGTGAGAAGTGATTGCAGAGGTCTGGGTGAGTGATGATGACAGTTTAAAGTGTAGCCATGGGGATGCAGAGAACTGAACAGATCTAAAAGAACATTTATATAGCAGGATGAAATATAGCCATGGAGGCCCAGAAGGGTCTTTCAAGGAGGCAAAAGGAGAACCAGCCACTTAGTGTTAACACAGCCCAAGGAAAGAAGAGGTTAAGTAAGAAGAACATATAACAGTGAACTAATGATTTAGATATAAAGCAGTAAGAAGCTAATATTTAGCACCTGTGATTTACTAGTCACCTTACTGGGAGTTTTACATATGTGATCTTATTTAATCTTCCCAATAAGCCTAGGAAGAATATATTACTTCTGCTTCTATTTGTTGTCAAACTGATGGAGACAAATACATGGCTGTAAGTGAGAAATTCAGGATTATAATCCAACTCTGTTGAATTCTAAATTTCAGTATCTTCAGTATTTTCTCAATTTACTAAAGTGCTTTTGGCGATTCCTCATTAATTTATTTTTTGAGAAAAGATGTCTGTTGCCCAGGCGGAGTACAGTGGCATGATCATGGCTCACTGCAGCCTTGAATTTCCTGGCTCAAATGATCCTCCTACTTCAGCCTCCCAAGTAGCTTGGAAAAAGGCATGTGCCACCATGCCTGGCTAATTGTTTTGTATTTTTTTTGGAGAGATGAGGTTCTCACCATGTTGCCTAGGTTGGTCTTGAACTCCTGGCCTCAAGTGAATATCCCACTTCAGCCTCCCAAATTGCTGGGATTACAGGTGTGAGCCACTATGCCTGGCTCTGCATCAATTTAAAAACAGCTTTTCATTGGGGGAAAAAGACACTTTAATTGAATGTATACGTGGATTATTAGACTAATGGAGAAACATAAAAGTGTGAAAATGAGTCTTAGTCTTGAGGATAAATAGTAATAGTTGCTATGATGCAGCTGCTGCTGATAAGATGATAAAGTTGATGATAGTGATGATGATATAAGAAGGACTGTTATAAGCATAGCAGTTTTTTCTTCTTTCTCTGTATTTTTATTACCATGTGAATGAAAATTACATACAGCATCTTTTTCTTCAATGTAAGCATTTCATTTTATTTCAAATCTATGTATACGTTGTCATACAGTTTTTTTCTTTGCTCTTTTTGCTTTCACTGGGTAATTTTCAGTCTGATCTTTTGCTATTTTTATTAATGACTCGTTTGGATAACTGTGATTTTCTATTTTAGGTATTGGATCAGGTGTCAATTTTCAGTTGAGCAGCCAACATAAATTCAACATTTTGATCTTGTATTCAACTACCAGGTAAGGCTACCTACTTGATGGCTTAACTGAAACATCAGAACTAAAACATTTTAGGGGGTGGATCCTGTTTAGTGTCTTTATATTCTATCTTTACAACTTTTTTCTAGAAAGGAAAGAGATAGAGCAAGGGAAGAGCATACAAGTGCAGTTAACAAGATGTTCAGTCGACAGAATGAAGGTGATGATCAACAAGGAAGCCGGTATAGTGTGATTCCGCAAATTCAGAAAGTGTGTGAAGTTGTAGATGGGTTCATCTATGTTGCAAATGGTGAAGCTCATAAAAGTAAGCACTCATATATATACATACATACATATATATATATATATATATTTAAGCATCACTGCATTGTTCTTTTCAAAGCAAATAAAAAATACCTTTTTAGTTTTTAATTGTGGCTTCTTAAGAATATGATGGCTAATTTTATCAATGTGATTTTCTGACCCTTACTATTAATAGTGGGTTCTAACACTTTGGTGTGCATTAGGATCACCTAAGGAGCTTGTTAAACATGTTAACAAGCTGATTCCTACCCTGGTGGATTTTATTCCTAGATTTGGGCTGTGTGAATTAGATTTGGAAATCTGTTTTTTAAAAGCATCCAGGGAGTTCTAATGCATTCCAGAGTTTGTTACTACAGCTATACAATATTTTTTTGTTGTACACTTCTGCATTTTATTTTTTTTTGATACGGACATTTTGTCTGCTTCTGGCTTTATTCAAATAATCTATGCAAATAACTTTGAACAATTTTACCTTGTGTTTTATCCAAATAGTAGAGAGATGTGATGGTGGGGTGTTAAGTAGATTAGTTGAGAACACTGTCCATATAGTCTGAATAATTGCCATTCAGAATGCTATTTGTGTGTGAAATTAAAATATCATTGGGACATGAGCCAGTATTATAATATCTTTCCCAAATCCTTTGTGATCAAGGTAGAATATAAATATATAATATACTGTATATATATTATAGTTCTTTATCTAATACACTGGTTTGAATTTCTGTTGAATTTATTTTCCCTGTGATCTGTTAGGCATGGAAGCATTATACTTTGCAATTACTTTCTGTTATTACAGGGCTGTCTATAAAATGAAAACTTAGAAGCCAAATAAAAGATGAGTTCATTTAACAAGTAGTTTTTTAGTTCCTACAGGCATGTTGCAGTTACAGTTGGGAACTAAAACAGATACAGCCTCTACTTTTATCTAGTTTTCCAGTCTGCTTCCTATATCATCCTATAAAACAAGCAGACAAAAAATAAATTTATAAACATTACAAGACATAAAGACACTATACCCACTTATCAGCTTTTTCCCACTGGCCTCTACTAGATGCTCATGTAAAAGGTTAGTGATAGGGCAGCAGACCTATGAGTGCCCTCCTTGGTAGTACAGGCATGCATGTGATGACCAGCTGCTACTTGGAGACAGTTATATCTTCCTACTTTCTATATCCTTTTCTCAATGAAGCCAAAGTTGTTTTCCACAGACAAAAGTTGACTGCTGCTGTCTCAAGAGAGATAAAAACAAAAGCTGCCTTAGGGGAGGAATAGGAATCCCACTTTTACCAAGGATCTTGCGCTGATAGAAGTTCAATGTTTGCTGACTCTGGAGGAGAGGCAGGAAACTTGCAGTGGAGACCTTTCTACCAATACAGGGAAGAATTCAGCAGTCATGCTGGAACACTGAGAAAGCTCCCACCACTGAGACTCAGGTGCACAGGGCCTACCTAAGGCCTGAGGCTGGGATAAGAAATCTCTATGTCCCTACCAATTAAGGAGCAATAGCAGACTACTGCAGGGATGGGGGAAAGGCATGGAGAGGCTCTCCCTGCCCCTCTCCCATAGCCCCCATAGCACAGTTACAAGATCTGCTGAAAGGTGAGGAACAAGTAGAAACTCTAAGAAACACTGGCACTCCAGTTCCCTTACTGAGAACAAGATAGCAGCAGCATGCTGCTGAAAGAATTTAAAGTCTATGTGTTAAAGTTAACTATAGCAATAAAAGCCAAACCAGCTCAACTACAGACTAGTTTGACTCAACATACTGAATGAATAGCCTAACTGAAGAATTATGATGCCTGTTTTTAAGAATAAATTCTCTTTACTTCAGTCTCTACTGCTTTTCTACATAAAACACTTAACATTAAATCTAAAAATTATAAGATACTCACACACAAAATCAAAATGAATGACACATTGCCATGAGATGAGGCAGTCAGTTGAACTAGACACAGAAATGGTCTGGATATTGGTGTTTTCAGAAAGGGACATTAAAATAACTATGATTAAGAGATCCAGGTCAGGTGTGGTGGCTCTGGAAGGCCAAGGTGGGCAGATCACTTGAGCCCAGGAGTTTGAGACCAGACTGGGCAACATGACAAAATTCCATCTCTTCCAAAAAATATGAAAAATTAGGCATGGTGGCATGCGCCTGTAGTTTCAGCTACTTGGGAGGCTGAGGCAGGAGAATGACTTGAGCCTGGGAGGCAGAGGTCGCAGTGAGCTGAGATCGTGCCACTGCATTCCAGCCTGGGCGACAGAGTGAGACTCCCCACACACAAAAAAGTTAGAGCAAGAAATCTAGTGGAAAAGGTGGGCAATATGTGTGAACAGATAGATTTTTCAGCAGAGAAAAGGAAGCTGCTTTGAAAAAATAAAATGAGAATGCAAGATATGAAAATATGACAACAGATGAATAGTTCCTTCAGTGGGCTTATTAGCAAAGGAAAGAATCATTGAACATGAAGATAAGTCACTCAGAATTATCCAGATTAAAACACAAAGAGAAAAAAGAGCAAGGAACAGAGTGTCTAAGAGTTGGGGGAATCTATCCAGTGACCTAACTCAGGGTTCCGGAAACTTTCTTAAAGGGACAGACAGTAAATATTGTAGGCTTAGAAGCCATACAGTTTTTTTTTTGTTTGTTTGTTTTTGTTTTTGTTTTTTTTTACAATCACTTAGCTCTGCTATTACAGTACAAAAGCAGCAGAGACAATATGTAAATGAATGGACAGGCTGTTTTCCAATAAAGATTTATTTAGAAAAATTGACCCACAGAATGTAGTATGCTGACCCCCGATCTAACTTATCTGTAATTGGGAGTCCCAAAACATGAAGGGAGAGAGAACAGGAGAAAAGGAATTTTTGAACAGATAATGGCCAAAATTATGGAAAGACAACAAACCACAGATTGAAGATGTTCAGAGAACTCCAAGCATTAAATATAAAGAAAAATATATCAAGGTACATCATAGTCAAACTGATAAAAATCAGTGATAAAGAGAACTTCTTTAGGGCAGTCAGAGAAAATGAAAACATTCATATAGAAGGCCAAGACAATAATGACAGCAAATTTCCTGACAGAATTGCTATAGGATAGAAAGCAATAAAGAGACATCTTTATGATACTGCAAGGGAGAAAAATCCTATATCTAGTAAAAAATGTTTTTTGAAAATAAAAGCAATGTCAGGACCTTTTTAGACAAACAAAAGTTCAGTGTCTTGGTTCATTTACACCACTGTAACAGAATACACCAAACCTGTATATCAATGCTTTTCTGTTTTTAGATTATGGAGACACCAGAATGGTACTGTGATTTTTTTCCACTGCTGGCTTCACCTAAATTCCTGTTCGCCCAAGACTACTTAGTATAATTTTATTACAGATCAATAAGTGAATTTTTAAAGATCAGAAATTTATTTTTCACAGCTCTGGACACCAGGAAGTCCAAGATTAAGGTACCAGCCTCTGGTTTCTTGTGAGTGCCTTTCTTGCTGATTTCCTACACAGCAGAAGGCAGAAAGGGAAACGGGACACAAACATTGCATTCTCACAGGACGGAAGAGGGAAAGATAGAGCTACATGCCTTTTTTAATGGTAATATTAGTCTACTCATGACAGTAGAGCCCTTATTACCTAAACAACTCCCAAAGACACTCCTTCCCCAACACTGTTGCATTGGGGGTTAAATGTCCAACACATGAATTTTGAGAAACACATTCGAACCACAGCACTGAGAAAACTATCAACAGATCTTCACTATAAGAAATTTTAAAGGAAGCTCTTCAGGCAGAATAATATGATAACACATGGAAATCTGCATCTACTGAAAAAGATGAAGACTCCTGGGATGGTAACAATGTAGCTATATATTAAAGGTTTTTTTCTAATTTTAATTAAAAAAAACAAACAGTATATTATGCATGTAGGACATTTTAAAGAAAAATATATGATAATCGAATGTATCATGGAAGAGAGAACGAAGTATATTATTGTAAGTTTCTTCTATATGTGAAATGGCATAATATTTAAAGGTAGACTGTTATAAATTAAAAATATGTGTTATAAATACTTGAACAACTACTAAAAAATGTATAATGAAGGTATAACTAAATAAGCCAGTAGTGGATATAAAATGGAACCATTAAAAAACAGTCTGAAAGAAGGAAGGCAAAGAGAGAAGAAGGAGCAAAGAACATATGGACGAGTCTAAGACATAGGATAGATTTAAATGCACGTTGTTGATAAGTACATTACATGTTTATTTGTTTTCAATTGCTATTAACAAATTACCTCAAATTTAATGGCTTGAAACAACATCTATTTTTTAGCTCACAGTTCTTTATGTCAGAAGTCTGAACATGGTAGTACTGAGTTCTCTGCATAGGGCCTCATGGGATAAAATTTGTGTATCATATGGTTGCATCCTTTTCTGTAGGCTCTGGGAAATAATTTGCTTCCAAGATCATTCAAGTTATTGGCTGAATTCAGTTCCTTATTGTTGTAGGACTGACCTTCCTGTTTTCTTGCTAGCTGTCAGCTGGGAGATGCTATCAGCTTCTATAGGTCACCTATATTTCTTGCCATGTGACTCCCTCCATCTTCCAATCCAGCAATGAAGAATCTACCCTGCATTGAATCTTTCAACAGGAAGAGCTGCTTCTAAGAGCTCACCTGATTAGGCCAGGCTCAATGAGGATAACGTCTCTTTCTTAAAGTCAACGGTGTCTTAAAGCCTAATCATGGGCATGATGCCCCATCTTATTTGTAGGTTCTTTAGACACTCAAGGAGAAAACGATTATGCAAGGGTTTGGAACACTGAAGTTATCTTAAAATTCTGCCTACCACAAAGTGCAAATAGTCTAAACACTCCAATAGAAGGCTGGAATTGTTGGTTTCCATAAAAAAACTAAACAACTATATGCCTGTATTTTGAAAGTAAGTCCTTTGAATGAAAGGGTAGTGACATCTACAGAATTTGTGAAAGGAAATACCTGTATCGAACATTTTTGCTTTTAGACTATGGAGACATCTGAAGAGTACTGTTATTTTTTTTCCCCTCAATTTATGTTTGGATCCTGGTAAATTTTTTGTTCCCTTGCTTTGTTAGTTTTTTATTATTTTCAAAACTATAAAAAGTAATGCAAATTTTTAAGGGTTTTTGCTTACATTCCTTAGGACATAAATGGCAAGATGAATTTTCTCATATTATGGCAATGACAGATCCAGCTTTTGGGTCTTCAGGAAGACCATTGTTGGTTTTATCTTGTATTTCTCAAGGGGATGTTAAAAGAATGCCCTGTTTTTATTTGGCCCATGAGCTGCGTCTGAATCTTCTAAATCACCCGTGGCTGGTAAGATCATTTATTCTCTAGTGATAGAAATTTTATTTTGCCCTCTATTTTCTATTTTATTATTTTTTTTTCTATTCATCTTCTTTAAGGAAATGACATTCTAAGTCAATTTTAATAGCTTAATCTATGGGAGCTATTTGATTGGCAATAATAAATGTTAGCTGATCAGTTGTTTCTTATTTGCCTCTTTTCTCATGGAAAAAGTGAGATTACAATTGGGGATTTTTTTTCTCTTTTTGTTTTTTGCTTTTGTTTTTTTGAGACCGGGTCTCACTTTGTCGCCCAGGCTGGAGTGCAGTGGCACCATCACAGCTCGCTGCAGCCTCAACCTCTCGGGCTCAGGCAATCCCTCCACCTCAGCCTCCCAGGTAGCTGGGACTACAGGTATGTGCCAGCACACCCAGATAATTTTTTGTATTTTTTGTAGAGATGAGGTTTCTCCATGTTGTGCAGGCTAATCTCGAATTCCTAGGTTCAAGCCATCTGCCCGCCTGCCTTGGTGTCCCAAAGTACTGGGATTCGGTGTGAGCCACCACGCCCGGCCAGGTTGTTTTTTTAGATGACACTATTATAGTTTTCTTCAACATCAATGTATTATGCTTTATGGAACATCAAAGGTATATGTTCCATCTTATAGTTTATTGCTTTCTAAAATTTATTTTATTTTATTTTTTTTGAGACAGAGTCTCGCTCTGACACCCAGGCTGGAGTGCAGTGGCGCAATTTTGGCTCACTGTAACCTCTGCCTCCTGGGTTCAAGTGATTCTCATGCCTCAGCCTCCCAAGTAGTTGGGATTACAGGCATGTGCTACTATGCCTGGCTAATTTTTGTATTTTTAGTAGAGATGGGGTTTTACCATGTTGGCCAGGCTGGTTTCAGACTCCTGGCCTCAAGTGGTCTGCCCACCTTGGCTTCCCAAAGTGCTGGGATTATAGGCATGAGCCACCATGCCCAGCCCTAAAATATATTTTAATTATGGCATCCTTTCTTCAAACGAATCCTGACATGAAAACCCCTGGTTAAAACAGATAAAGAAAAATTAAAGTTGGAAACACTTTTGCGGAAGAAGTGAGAGGATTTTCTTTGTTCCCCTTCCATCTCTTCCCTGGAGCTCCAAAGACTCTTTGGAATGAAGTTTGAAAACTACTAATAAAGTTTACCCTTCTGAATGGTGGGAGTTTTAGCTTTACCATTAGGTGGAGTGGCAGTCTTCCAGACACATTTTTGCAATATGATGTCACACATATGACTAGCTGGGTCACTAAAACATGTTTTAGTCTTCAAAGTAGATCCTTTGGATGATTTTTTCCCCTCTAATATATGCATGCATGTCACAGAAATGGTAGTTCTTTCCATTTCCAAAACTGAATTCCAAGGCAAATAAGCCTTATGTTGGTAGTAGTTATAAGAGAGATAATCTTAATTTTATCTAAGTGCTCTACAGAAGAAAACTTGAACAGCTTATCCTAAGTTTATTGGAATTTTTAAGTTCTATTCTCTTTTTAGTGTCCAGAAAAATGTCCCTCCTACTCATAAGATTTTGGATTAAGTTTCTTACTAACAATATTCTTTCTTATATGTTCATAGGTCCAGGATATAGAGGCTGAAACGCTAACTGGTTTTTTGAATGGCATTGAGTGGATTCTTGAAGAAGTAGAATCTAAGCGTGCAAGATGATTCTCCCTTCAGACTTTGGGAACTGAAACCATTTGAAATTTGTTACTAAGGTCATGATATGGATATTTGCTCAATCAGCCTACCTTGTCCTGCCTTTTCGCAGATGGGCTTTAAATTGGACAGCTATAACTGCTGTGTTTTTTATATTATTTTTACTCTTTACCATAAATCAATTATAAGAAAAGGGTTTCAATTCTAGTATTTAGCCCCAAAATTAACCTTAAAAAATTTTTTTGGTAATTTTTATATTTTCTTTCTTTTAAAAAATATTAAATTCCTGAAAAAACAAGTTTGTGCCTCTCATTCCTTGAGTTTCTATTCTTTTGGGTACAAAGATTGCCTTAGTGAGTAATAGCAAATTTGCTAAGCTTTCCATTCAGTCTTTTCGAGGGTTCATAAGTGGTTATTGGAAAAGAAATTTTTATCTATTCTTAAAAAATACACTGCTTAAAGACTGAAAAAGGTACTGGAATTACATTTAATATTATGGCCATACAATCCCTGTTTTATTCTGAAACAGTAGAGAACAAGCTTATATTTAATACTGCTTTACTGAAAAATAATTTTTCCTGATAGTTCTTACTATTTTCTAATAACTTCGAAAGCTCATAAGATACTAAAGCCAAATTGTATTCCATAATCATAGAGAATACTTCCCACAGACTTGTATGCATCATATTACTTCATTCCACAAGTGGCTTATACTTGGCAGAGAAAACACCTTAATATCTCACTGGAGCTCAGGAATTTTAAGATTATAGTAAAAGCCATAAATATCTACATGCACTTCATATAAGTTCCATGTTTAAATGTAGTTCTGTTTTGGACAGAAAGTTTATAATATATATTATACATATAATTGTATTTGGTCTCTTTAAGGTCAATCCTATTACTGTTTTGACACTTTTGTTGAGGGGGCTGAATTTTGTATCCTAACTATTGGGTTAGGAGGTCTTTGAAAAAGACTTGTGAACATATGGTTTCACATTTGTCAGAATGTTTACTGAGATATTTGTAGTTTTGCTATAGTTAGGCATTAATCTTTCTTTCTCTTTCTTTCTCTCTCTCTCTCTTTCTTTCTTTCTTTCTTTCTTTCTTTCTTTCTTTCTTTCTTTCTTTCTTTCTTTTTCTTTCTTTCCTTTCCTTCCTTCCTTCCTTCCTTCCTTCCTTCCTTCCTTCCTTCCTTCTTTCTTTCTTTCTTTCTTTCTTTCTTTCTTTCTTTCTTTCTTTTCTTTCTTTCCTTCTTCTTTCTTTCTTTCTTTCTCTCTCTCTCTCTCTCTCTTTCTTTCTTTCTTTCTTTCTTTCTTTCTTTCTTTCTT